CCAGTTCTCATCTTCCAGCTCCCCAGATACTCCGCGTACTAAAGTTGCACTACAAAGTCGCCAGTTCTCATCTTCCAGCTCCACAGATTGCTCCGCGTACTAAAAACTAGTACTACAAAGTCGCCAGTTCTCATCTTCCCGGTTCCCAGATACTTGTACTACAAAGTCGCCAGTTCTCATCTTCCAGCTCCGCAGATACTCCGCGTATTAAAGTTGTACTACAAAGTGCTGCGCCTGCCACAAAATCTGCGCATGGAGGTTTACAAAGTGCTGTGCCTGCCACGAAATCTGCACATGGAGGTTCACAAAGTGCTCCGCCTGCCACGAAATCTGCACATGGAGGTTCACAAAGTGCTGTGCCTGCCACGAAATCTGCACCTCGAGGTTCACACAGTGCTGGGCCTGCCACGAAATCTGCGCATGGAGGTTCACAAAGCGCTGTGCCTGCCACGAAATCTGCGCATGGAGGTTCACACAGTGCTGTGCCTGCCACGAAATCTGCACATGAAGGTTCACAAAGTGCTGTGCCTGCCACGAAATCTGCACATGAAGGTTCACAAAGTGCTGCACCTGCCAAATTGCTGTGCTTGCCATGGAGGTTCACAAAGTGCTGTGCCTGCCACGAAATCTGCACATGGAGGTTCACAAAGTGCTGTGCCTGCCACGAAATCTGCACATGGAGGTTCACACAGTGCTGTGCCTGCCACGAAATCTGCGCATGAAGGTTCGCAAAGTGCTGTGCCTGCCACGAAATCTGCACATGGAGATTCACCAAGTGCTGTGCCTGCCACGAATTCTGCACATGGAGGTTCACAAAGTGCTTCGCCTGCCACGTAATTTGCACATGGAGGTTCGCAAAGCGCTGTGCCTGCCACGACATCTGCACGTCAAGAAACAAGTGAAAACTCTAATCACAATGGAGGGACGATTCCGAGAATGATCCGAGCATGATCCGAGACCGTCTCGCAACCGTCGTTCCGCGGAGCTTCCCCGTCGAGGTTCGGAGAAGCATGGAGGTTCACAAAGTGCTGTGCCTGCCACGAAATCTGCGCAAGGAGGTTCACAAAGTGCTGCGCCTGCCACGCAATCTGCGCGTCGAGGTTCACAAAGTGCTGTGCCTGCCACGAACTCTGCACATGGAGGTTCACAAAGTGCTGTGCCTGCCACATGGAGGTTCACAAAGTGCTGTGCCTGCCACGAAATCTGCACATGGAGGTTGACAAAGTGCTGCGCCTGCCACGTAAACTGGAGCTACGTAGAGCTATTGAAACTAGAGCTAACTGGAGCTGGAGCTCTTGAAACTAGAGCTACCTGGAGCTAGAGCTATTGAAACTAGAGCTACCTGGAGCTAGAGCTCTTGCAAGTAGAGCTAACTGGAGCTAGAGCTCTTGAAACTAGAGCTAACTGGATGATGAGTGGTGTATGTTGAGTGGTGTATGATGAGTGGTTTCTGATGAGTGGTGTATGATGAGTGGTGTATGTTGAGTGGTGTAGTGTATGATGAACGGTGTATTGATGAGTGGTGTATGATGAGTGGTGTATGAATGAGTGGTGTATTGATGAGTGGTGTATGGATGAGTGGTGTTTGATGAGTGGTGTATGATGAGTGGTGTATGATGAGTGGTGTATGATGAGTGGTGTATTGATGAGTGGTGTATTGATGAGTGGTGTATGATGAGTGAGTGGTGTATTGATGAGTGGTGTATGAACAGTTCTTGAATGCCCGTAACACGGAAGTTTCGTAAACTAAACTTCCTTTGATAATGGAATTAAGTTAGAAGAAACATTGAATTGTAATTTTCTTGCAGTGAATTTTAAAATACATATACTGACTCCAAGAGAGATGGGAGTAGTCGGACGATCTTGAGATGTTATTTTCCTATCTCATGTGCTCTGTGCATATTTGGGCAATGTGATTTTTGTTTTGCTATCTCATGTGTGTAATCTGAATTGGGGGACCGTATAGTCCTATCTCAGCACCAAAGCCAAAGCAAACAGACCTGATTTTATATTGCTTGTTGCAGCGAGTTTGTGCTTTTTGGACTGTTGTTTAGGTCTGGACATGCCTGGACACACCGTCGCGTGAAGGGCCGTAACATCCTGTCTCATTTGCTAAAGCTGATGTGCATGAGTTTATTTGTCCATAAGGTCCTGTCTCATCTGCATGTCCCTTTTCAAAAAAACGACCATAAGGTCCCGTTTCACCTGAGGGTAGTATAGATTTAATTTAGAATTCAATTAGGCTCAATTTAGAATTAAAGTAGAAGCGTGTTACATACTCAAGCCAAATTCAATTTAAAATTCACTTAGATCCAAATTTGAATGTAAATAGAAATAGAAATGACATTCAATTAGAATAAGAATTGACTTAGAATTCAGTTAAGCTGTATTTAAGTCAAAATTCATAGAATTAAATTTTGGAATTGAACTAGTGGTTACTTAGAAATGAATAGTAAAAAAATGTTTCCTTTTTGGCAGACCAGCCCCCAAAAAAAACACAAAACGTTCAGACCCATGGAGGGGGACCCAGGAGAGGCTGGACAGGAGACATAGGTCTGAACGTTTGTTTTTTTTATTTGTGTTTTGGACACTTGTTTGTCTAAATTTTGTTTTTTTAATTATTGGTGTGTCTATTGTTTTCAGAAGCTATTTTGCCTTTGCTATTGTTTACATATCACCATCCTTACAAAGACGTGCATTTCTACAATCTGCACCTCCACCCCCCATGGCTACCCCTTCTGTATATAGATATATATATGTATTTATTCATGCAGTTCTCCCTTGTGGAGCTAGGCAATGTAGAGTTGTGTCGTGCTTTGGTGTCATGTAAGGCCAGCAGCAGCCAATGTAGTCTTCACAGCGCATCTGTTTTTTTGCTAAAGGTTGCCATGAGTGGGATGCGTCAATGTGACTTCCTCAACTTGTGTGGAGCTTCATGCGCCAACAGAGGAGCCAAGAATATATGCCCATACATAATATGTTTCTTTGAAGAGTCTGACATGTTGCTTTGTTTATGCATCCACATCAAGTATCCTTGTGGTTGCGGAGCGGCGGAACATTTTTGCATGTTCAACTCTTGCAGGTGCCTACTACATGTGGTGCTGGAAACATGATGGCTACTGCTGGGGAAGTACCGGCTCAAAACTCTCGGATGGACTCTCTTTTGGAACTGGTTCAGAGTTTTTGACATGACATATGCAATGGTATTCAATGTGGGAGGTGCATACATCCCTTTGAAGAGAAATCACTCTTGCCTGCCCTTGTGCTGTCCCGTTGGCAGATTAAACGCGGAACCTCTACCCTCTTAATTATGGAAGAGCATGCTATGGAGGGCGCTTGTCCGTTCCTGACATTCTCGTCTGCACATATCACGAGGGTTTCCGTGACAAGGGGCTTACTTTTTTCTTACTCAATCGTTTGGGACCCTCAAGGATTCAATTTCTCTTTTGAACATTTTTGTTGAGTGCTGTGCTGAAGATGCTGAAGTAGGTTGGGCAAAAGGAATTGAATAGGTGGCCCACATGGGGCTGAAATCATTCGCTCCTATTTCATTCCTTTAAGATCTTTTTCAGACCATATCTTTCAAGCACCAAGATCCGAACGGACGGGGTAGGACCGGGGGGGGTTGGTAGCACTCGCTTCCTTCGCCGTCGAAGGATCGGTGGGTTTGTCCGGGCTTGTGATTGGCATCACTTTCATGATGATCTCTTGGCGCTTGCAGTTGCTTGGCTCTGAGAAATCAGCTGAGAAGAAAGAAGACGAGTTTCGTTGCAAGCAGTGTGGCACACGAACGCTTCGCACGGAGGGATCCAAGCACGAGAGGTTTGTGGTTAGATTAGCTTGGACTTGAGTTTTTGGATGTTCCAGAGGTGGTTCATTCCTTTTCAGTGGGTCTTTTAGGAAAACGAGTCCCGCAGATAAAACTCGTCAATGGCATTTTTACTCCCTTCTCCTTACCATCCATAGCGACACAGACAAGGTGCTCTGTAGGGAATGAGGAAATACGTCCTCAAATCCATGCCTCATTTCTGCTAAGCACCTATTTGATCAGGCAGGATATCCGCTTGGCGAGTACTTGCATCGAATTCTCCTGCAAAGCTGTGCTGGAGACGCCATCCTTGAAGTTGGAGCCTGTGCTGGCGCTTTGCTGTCGTGGGTTGGTGGATGTTGCCTCCGCGGCAGTGGCGAAGCCGCCTTTTGAAAGGCCGACGTTGTGTTTTGGACGGGGTTGACATGCCCAGACACGACCCATGGGACTGCCATATACGCTCATCAATTGGGGTATTTTGGGGGTCAATGTTGGCATATATGGCATACATGGAGCGTCTGGGATGGATTTGAAGGCAGTCAATATTGCTTGAAGACTTTTTCTGGCAAACTGAGGTGGTGGCAATGATCTTGACCTGTGATCTGCAAAATGACGAGGTCCGACGTCGAGAATTCCACTGGATTGTTCCACCACAGTCCTGGCAACAGACATCCAACTGCAAACTTGGAAACCTTTGGGATCATTTTGACCCAAGTGGTTGGGACCATTCAATAGATTTTACTGTAACGTACAGAAGTTTTTAGCTCCTACCTCTTGTTCACTTTGCATGCGAAGTCAGGATTGGAATGCTCACAGTGATTGCCTGGTGGTGCATGTGGACCAACATGATCATTACTGCCATGGCTGACTTTGTGTCTTGGCCGCCGGGATCTCCTATGCAAGACCCCAAACAAGAAAAGTCAACACATTCCAGAGTCGCTTCTCTCGCCGGAGAGGTCCGCTTCACTTCTCGTGACGTCGGGTCATCATTGCATCCTTGAAAAGGGGTCTAGGCAGAAGCAGGGGATCGTGGAATCCAAAAAGCACATCAAAACGACTCAAAAATAATGTAAACATTGTAAACATAGTTTAGTATTAGTAACACTGTAGTAACATACTAACATACTCCATACATACACTTGTTCTTCGTGTTAAGTCTTTTTCACCATCAGGTGATCATGTACACGACCGAGCTCTGGGTTTTTGCGGGCGGCCTCACGAAAAGAGGTGGGCACGCCCCATGCTGCTCTATTCTGCGAGGATACTACGTATGCCTCAGACACAGGAATTGCTATCAGCAAGTTCGTTTGGTATTTTTTGTTGTATTTTGTCTTCTTTCTCATTCACTTCTCGGCTGACCCACAAGACTCACAAGACTTCTTATTCATGATTCTGTTGCTTCCTGCTTTATGGCAGAACCCACACTGGAGCATCAGAAGCTTCACGTGCCCAGTTCCACATCCAGTTTGCTCATTGTGTTTGCTCATTGGATGCTTCTTTATGACCATTCCGACCATTCCTCAAAACAGCTTCTTCACGCAGTTTGACTTACTGTAACATGTCCCTCCCGCGAGACCCTGCAGCAGACCGCTGACCCGCGGCTCCAAAACAACATCGCTCCATAGTGCCATGTATGGACTGCGCACGTAGATGTGTTTTTACGTGCTTACCATATAGTGCTTACACAGTTCCAGTCCACCCACTCCAAGGATATCATTTTGGCACCATGGTGGTTGGTGGTTTGGTCGTGGGATGCCTTCAGCCCATCCGCTTGGCCTTCGGGCTGATGGCCGGCCTCGTCTCCTTCGATCGGAACTCCGTGGGCCTCGTCAGCTGTTTTTGCGACTGCGTCGTGCAGGCGCGGAGTCACGGGGCGACGGGCGGGAGGACGAGGCCGAGGTCCGCAGCGGGGCCGGTCCCAATCCCCGGAGCACCGAAGTACGAGAGAGAGAGAGAGAGATCGCTCGTAGAGGAAGGTCTGGCATAGGAGGTCCGCTTGGTTCCTGCACCTATTGCATCTCAACGATGTACGTACGGCAGGTCTACAGGAATTCTTTGGAGCCGTGGTGTCGTAATGCATACATGGACGTGGCGCTCAACTCCCGCTGTTTTCATGAATCGGCCTGGCATGTTTCATGGGTGAATGCCAAGTTCATGACTGCCGTGAATATCTTGAATGGCGCAACCTGGCTTTTTCAGCTAGCAGGTTTGGGGGCGATTACTTCCCTGGGCCATTTGCAAACTTGCGTCATCATCAAATACTACCCTGGCTTCGAAGACCCTTACAGCCCGGACTATGTGCAGAATCCTTTCTTGCTATCGATTTGTGGCTCTGTCGTTGCTTTCACCATGGCCTTCCCCTTCATGATGATCTTCGACACAGTGAGTGACACCGTGCTTTTTGCTTACATCGTGCAAAAGATGCGCGAGGAGAAAGAGAAGGTTCCCACGGTCTACTCGCGAGCGTGTGGTTTCATCGAGCGCGTGGATGATTTCATTGGATTGGGCTGCGTCGAGCATGATCACACGGAGAGGGTTTGCACAAAACATTTTCGACATGTTGAACCGCGTCCTGGTAGAAAAGCCAATCAACCATGTCTTTTCGTATTTTGTTGTTCTTCTCTATTGCTGAGACGAATAGCCTGGGGTTCATCGACCATGTTGCGTGCCTTGGTTTTGACCCTGAGCTGGGGGCCCTCTGCCTGGGGCCCGCAGGACTACTCGATGCCCAAGTTTCTCTTGAGTGAATTTGATGAAGAAGCTGTTGAGGTTGGGCTTGTGGACCCTACGAAGAAGCTGGATGGCTTCAGAACATTTTTTGGGTTGTTTGTAAAGTTTGTAACTTTATTTTTGGGATGTACATGTTAAATCAGGTTAATTCTGAACTCCCAAGAGCAGCTATTACCTTCAGGAAGATTCATTGTCCACACCTACAGTACCTGGGAGTTGTACTGTACAATACTGTGCATAAATTACTTTTCGTTATAACTAATTATGTTTGTTGATGCTTGTTGGTTTGGGGGAACTTGTTATCGGATCCCTCAAGGATACAATCCACCAACTTCATCGATTGCTTCCACGGGAAGGGATTCAATACCCCACACACCCAAGGCCAAGCCCAGTCCCCAGCTTCTCTCCCTTCCGAAGGGTATAGAAACCACATCGCCTTCCAAAAAGGTCTCCGGTGTCCGAGGAACTCGTGGGACGACCCGAACTCGTGGGACTCCGAGGTGACCCGCCCAGCTGAATTCAGCCCGAACTGGTGAAGGCCCAAAAGTGGTCGAGCCAACGACGTACCCGGGGTCCAAGGAAGACACGCGAGTGCCGGACGGTGTGAGTCTGCACTTGCTGACCTGATGTTGCAGGTGACCAGGAATAGTGACATGGTAGGGTGTGGGGCATACCTATCATACCTGGACTACGTCTTTCGTGCCTAGGGCCTAGAGTTTCTTTCATCACCAGTAATGAAGGGGGTAGTGAAGGGGGTTTTGGGTTGTTCCTTCATGCCAACATGTATATAGAAGTTGAAGCCTGGTTGAGCTTGTTATGTTGAAAGTTGACAGAAGTGGGTGTTTACACACACAGCTCTGAGAAGACTTTGGACGAATCATGGACCCCGTGGGATGTACAAAGTGACCTACTCCTCCGGTTGCCGATGATGCCGGCCGGCCGCTGAATCAAAAGAAGCCGTCGTTCGCAGCGTCGGGCGCAGTTTCTGTGCGGCGGCTTGCGGGCTTGGATCATCCTATGAGCGTTGTCCCATGAGGAGCAGACATTGGGAATGTGCCCCAAGTGCCGCAGCTGAACACAACACCTGGGCCCAGGGAGATGAACCATCTCCCACAGCATATATTCCCATGGCCTTCACTGACGATTGAACTCGCTGACCGCGCGAGAATCATGCCAGGTGCAAATCTTGGTGGATGATGTTTGTGCAGATGTCGGAAGAGACCACCAAGCTCGTGTCGCTGGTGTGACTGGGATGAGTCTGGTGTTTTCGACCTCCGGAGGTTCTTTGTAAAGGCCCAGTGGTCACCCAACCGATCACCCCGGGGGCTCGATCGGATCCGCGGACGCCCCGTGTCAGACGCACAGACGTCTGTGCACAGATGCTGGACACAGTTTCGGCACCGTTTCGGCACCGTTTGAAGCCGAAAGAACTCAATACTAGGGTCATTGCCATCAATGGTAGGGCCGGCGCCTGTAGATTCTTTTGGACAACCCTATTCACAAAGGAGTGCAGCTGTACAGCCAGAAGATAGCAACAACATGTGACAACTAGTAGATCAGACATACCTTGGATTCTCCTAGGGGCCAGAGGTTACCCCACAATTCTGGCCCGGCTCTCAGGCAACTCGAGCGCTTGGTCGAAGTCTTTGAGCGTTCTTTGGTGAAGTTGCGAAAGGCAAGAGCTGAAAAGGGCTGCAAGGGCTTTTTTTGGGGGGGGGATGTGCTGCCGCCGAGTGCGCTTTTTGTACTGACCATCGTTTGCGAGTGATCGACCTGTTTTCCAGTCCGTTGATGCTTGAAACTGAAACATGGTAACATGGACATGCAGTGGTTCCATCCGAAGCGTCGCTGGGACGGAGAGTGGAGCAGTGGAGCAGTGCCCAGGCCTCCATGACTTTGGCCCAACAGAGGCTCAAAGAATTTGATGCCAAGTATGAGGCGGGAGGAGGAATGCCTCGTGGCTGTTCGTTTAGCCGGGAAGCCGCCCGAGATTTCCAAGGTGACAGAAGTAAGAATGAGATGAGCCAAAAGATAGTCATCACATGTCATTACTACAGTATAGACATATATATATATTATCGTTTTAATATATATATATATATAATATACATATAACTATAGTTATTTGCGTATTCATATGGATTAAGGCCCGATCAATTTCAAGTTCTACTGTGTCATGCAAGGTCGTTCAGACACAGGCCTTGAAGGAGCATTCAGCGCGCCAACGAAATCTCGCTGGGAGGGGTTCTTATGGTGGTTTGGAAAGCTTCCACAACAGATGCCGCAGGATTTTCAACACATATATCCTCCACCTTCCCTCATGAAGGGGTGACTGTTTTGCTGTTGAAGCTCTCTTCTAAATGATCCAAATACTGTCCAAACTCAGTCGTCCTCAGTCGATGCACCTCCAGTTTCGACCGCTTGAGCTGTGCTCCAAAACACCCCCCACCTGGGCCCGGCCACGTGGAGGCCGAGGCGAAAGCCAAGGCTGCGGAAGCTCCAGATACCAACAAGACAGAAGCAAGGGTTCCTCGGCGAGAGTCGTGCACGGGTTCGTATGGGGAGGCGAATTGGAACTGCCTATGATACATGCGCAGTTTGTGGTCCGATAATCGGGTTTGTTTGACTATCGTTGACCATTTCTGTTTGCTTTGCTGACGGTTGTTCCAACAACAAAGCTTTGGTCGTTGGCTAGAGTATATATTTCCATGCTTTTGTCCTCTCATGTTCTCTCTCCGCATTTTTAGCTAGCTAGCTCTCTCTTTCTCTTTTGTTTTTTGTTCTCTCTCTCTCTCTCTCCCTCTCCCCCCTCCATGTCCCTATGTCTCGCCATCTCTGAACAGTCACATGAACATTTGGACGTTTTCTAGGATCTTGCTCGACTTGGGCACCTTGCGGAATGAAAACGGATTGAAGATCCACTGATCCACTTCTTACACCACCCAAGTTTCCAACTGCAGGAATCGGGCCTTGAAAGCATTTGATGGATGTCTCACGTCGATTCGATTTCCCACAAAGCGGCAGAAGGACGACATACCCCAAAACATATATAGGCTGTTTGAATGATACTCTTCCAGCATTTGGCGCTCTCTGGATCCAGAAGTTGGAGAGGACATGCGCATTTCCACATTGGGTGAATAGCTGCTCACTAGGACACTAGGACATTGTACTACTGAACCCGACCACTAAATCTTACGAGACCCCTTTTTTCCAATCAAGGATGGACACGCAAAGAGAGAGACCTGACCCAAAGACGCTGGCTCTAGACTCTAAACTGTCCAGCCATGCGGCAGTGCCTCCAAAATTCGGGAACCTACGGAAAGACTCCCAGTGAGGGGAAAGGAACAGTTGAAGACACCAACCGACCCCTCGGAGACCCACAAAACCGACTCAGTTCCGTCAGGGTTCAGAACCACCCGGTAGAGCCAGCTAGCCCGGCCGTGGCCAGCCGGCACTCAGTTGCAGAAAGAGGCCAAAGATCGAGAAGCAAAGCGGCTGGATGAGAGACGCTAGGATGAACGGGGATGAACTGATCTTGGACGAACTGCGTGAAAAACCATGAACACAATGCAATGCATTAACCTTATGCATTCCTTGTGATTTGAATGACCTTGCGGGAAAGATCGACATCATGGGCCGCATGGACGGGCCCGCTCCATTGGCACCACTGGGGTTCTTCGGGCGTTGGGTAGGTCCGTTTGGCTCAGGAAAGAAGCTCATCTCCCAGCTGGGCGTTTCTCCCAACGGCCACGTCTTCTTGACACTCACCTCCTTGCTGAAGCAGCTGAGTTCTCGCTTGGCAGGTGCATGTGCTGCGGGTTGTGAAGTAGAAAGGTGGTCAGACAGGATCATGGTTACAGATTTGAGCTATATAACTTTGCGGAAGTGGTTGAGGATTTAGGTCCTGCCACAGTTGTGGCTTTGGTCATCACCTTGGATACACATTTGTTTTCCATTCTGCTGTTGTATTATGTTGTATTCGCTTCCACCGCCCATCCCGCCGCCTACTCATGAACAGTTCGCTTGGTACTTCAGCCACTCTGCGCGGAGAATGCCACGCCTCGCCGGTTTGCCACGAGCGACGCCCAGTTTGCCGGCGACTGACTCGACTCGTTGACGGTGAGGCTCCTTCAACTCGCGGCTGCGAACGAGGATTTCTTTGCTTCTGGAGAGGCTGTTGGCGCTGGACCACAAAGCCATAGCAAACAATCAGAGGCTGAGCGAAGATGGCGACGTTTGTTGCGAGATTCCTGCGAAGTTACGCTGAAAGGGACGTTTTGGATCAGGAAGGTCTTCAGGATGTTTTGAGACAAATATACATGTGCGACTTGCCTTTGCAACCTAATCTTTTAAACACCTGGGAACTGAGGAGCTCAGGAAGCAAGGAGATAAGGAGCGTAGGGCCTAGGTGGGTGATTGGACAAGATCTCAAAATGTACTGTAATTATTGGATTCTCTGACCTCCATGGGACGTTAAACTTTAAACACGTATATATTATATATTGAACATGCCTGTACGTACACTCCTTGTGACGTGCCAACCCTCAATGAGCAATGCTCATTGTGAAACATCCATTTCTGCTGTTACATCCATAGGGCCAGGGGTTTGCCGACCGTAGTTGCGCGTGGTTCAGTCTCGGTCGGTCACCGAGGAAGGTCCGGACCCAGGACTTCGTGCCTTGGCGGAACGGGCATCCCTTGGTGCCACGGTGGGGGGAGCGAAGGCGAGGAGCCATGACGAAGTGAGGAGACTGGAGACCCTCAAGTTCTGGAGCCATCCTCAAGTAGTTAATCAGATTAAGCAGGAAGAATCTATGGGACAAGTTTCAAGGGGGAAAACGGCCACTGAAAATGAACATTCATCCATATTTTGTTTGCTGGGGCGTGGCTGGAGCAGCATTTCCAACCTCCGTGCACCAAAGAATAATGGAAGCAAAGCAAGTCCGGGTTGGTGTCGCTGTGGATGTTTTATTTTGCCTGACGAGGCCACATTTGGTCAAAGATTCGTATGGTACCTGGTGTTCCCTTGTGGGCTCGGGGTTGCCAAGATTTATGAGAAGGGCAGTGAGAAGGGTATAGAATGGTTTTAAGTTTGATTATTTTAGATTAGTTTTGGGGATCTTTGAACTTAACCAAAGGCCCCTTTCGAAATCCTATTCGCACCTGGGACTTTCTCCTAGAACTTGGGACTTTCCATGTCAATGATTTTTTCAGGCTGGATGCGAAGTGGTCAAACAGGTGAGCTACCCTACACTGCACTGGTCGTACCACAGCTGAACACCGGCAAGAATGTTAGCAACCTATAGCAGCACTTGGCACTTCATGAATAAGATGCGTTACAGCAACTTGCAAGAGCTTGATAGTGCTATGCTTGCGTGAATCCAGTGGCCTTTCAACCCCGAACCGGCATGTGCCCAGTTCACTGCTGACGACCTGGACGGAGAGAGCCAGGTGCGCAGCAAGGGGCAGTTGGGAGCAGTTGGCAGGTCACCAAAGTTCATTCAGAGTGGCCTTGGCTTCGCACCCTCGAGAAATCATGGTTTCACACAAGGCAGAGGGACTCCAGGGTACACTACAATTACATTGAGCAATTCGATGCAGATACGTAGCACGGCAAGATGCAGATTGATATATAAGTGTAGAAGATTTGCATAACTATATATTAATATATATATATAGAAGTGTTGAAGTACTGCCCAACGGACTGGATCCCAACCCTTGAAGTGCAACTATCCTTAGTGTAAGTTGAGTCATGTTGAATGTAAAGAATTTGTTTGTCACTGATTCAGTCACTAGCAGTCGGAGATTTAGGCCCGTTGCCGCCTGTTTGTTCTTGAAACAAGCTCATCTCCCCAGAATGAGCGTGCATGGCGGCAGGAGGTTGTTGTCCATGACTTTTATTGTTTACACCTGCAATGGTGCATGTATATATAAGTTGTGTAGGGAAAACCGGCCCTCCAACACCGCTGCAGGGTGTCGGTCAACGGGTCGCCTCTGAGGCACCTTTGCCGTACTCGCTGGAGAGTGCCCCAACGCTTCAGGCAATTCCGGCGGAGTGGTAGTGGCCTCACTCACTGGCCTTTGTGCTTCATCTTCCTGATTCTTGTGACCGGCCAATGCGATTTGTGTTGATTGGAGCTTCTCATCACCGTCAGGCCAGCCAGACTGAAGCAGCCGCAGGAAGCCTAGTCCTTCGGTTTCCTCTTAAAACAAATTCCAAGCACAAAGAAGGAATTTACACATATTTTCTAAACGTATATAAACTTACAGTAATCTTTAGCACACTTGTGAATTCATCAAGCTTTCCCATGTAGATTCAAGACACGCATGCTCTTGAAGTAAATCAGATGGCCGACTTTAGGCTATGCCTAAAGCCACGCAACAAATGAGGAGTATTTGTAAGAAGTTCTCTGGGTAACCCAGAGCTCCCTTTGGAGTGAAGTGACATCAATCAGCTGCTTTGCGGCTCCCGTCGTTTTGTGCGGCTACCGGTCCTCGGAGCAACCCTGAGGCCGGTGAGGCCGGTCCGGTCGCGGGGACGGAGGCGGGTCCGAATGCCATCCGCTTCCAACGTGACGGTGTGTCTGGCCACAAGGGCGGAAGGTTGTGGTCGTTGTTGTTGTTCTTGTTGTTGTTGTTCTCGTTGGTTTTTAATAAGCCCGTGGCCCTGCCTCCTTACTTAATTACTGTAAGTAGTAGGCGCCTACTTGATTAAGCTAATAAGGGACCGGGTGTAGTTCGCTAATAGCAATAGGAAGCCCCTAGCTAGGATGCTGAATAGCGCTGGCACATGCTTGCACTATTCATGTGGTTCCTAGATTTTGTGGGCAGGTTTGCTCTAGTTGTTGTTGATAATTGATTTGTTGGACATTGAGATCCCATTGATATCCATTGATGGAGACAGAGAATATGGCCACCTATACTGTAGCAGTAAAGCTACAAGTCCGGGTTTCCCTTTACCAGTCCCTTTACCATATCCGTTTGGGAGGACCAGCAAACCCCTGAGAATGTCTGGCCACTTTGTTTCTGGGGCTCATCTAGTTACTTAACACTTGTCTAAATACCCGTCTATTGTTCAAGACAGCTGCAAGTTCCTTGGCCAAGTCCTACGACCGACACGGGTAGTTGAGTTCTTCTCAGCAAGTTCCTGCTCTTTGCCTGGCAACACCACTCAGTTGAACGCCTTGCTTGGCAGGAGAAGGCCAGCAGTTTGGGCCACGACCAGGCGATCGACTTTGAGACCTACAAGAGCCGTGCAGCTGCAGACAGAGTCGGGGCAGATGGGGGTGAGGCCTAAATTGGGCCTAAATGCGAGGATAGCGCTCCCTGAGGAAGCACGAGGATGAGCTGGGGAGAACTTGGTGTAGGGTCCAGCAGGAGAAACTCTGGAAATCAATCTTCTCCACTGCCGAAGGGCCGAAGAGCCGGAAACACATCATGTTCATTCCACTTCATTCCTTTTGCTCCCCCAAAGCGGATCCTCTTCAGGACGCGCCTCGACGCCCGATCCCGTCCGATGCTTGAGGCTTTTGGTCCCTCCAGGAATGGCTCCAGGTGGTCGAGAAACTCTTTGAGAAACCAGAAAGCTGGAAGCAGTTCCATGCCACTCGTCGAGGTTTTATGTGGATTGGGGTTCGGATTGCGCGTCCGGATGCTTGGAAGTGAAGTACTGTACTGCACCGTGGCATGCTGAAATGTAAACTTGTTTGACCACCGACTGGCAGACCGACCCGGCTCACACCCGGTTTGCAGAGATCACCTGTTGTCCCAAGAGGATGTAGATGCTGAGCTGTTGTTTCATCCATGAACTTTGGCTCCTGGCATATGGTGGAGAAGAACACCGTCTAAAGACATGGTCCTTTGACCTCGAGGTTCTGTCGTCTCGATCCTGGGTTTAGAGCCGACCAGAGAGTCAGTGATAGCACCACGTCCGGTGGTCGAGGTGCGAAGAGGTGGACCCGATGTGTCGAAATGGTCCACGGAAACACATGCTGGTTCACATGCTGGTTCACTGTGACGGGGAGTCTGGCCAGGTCTAAAAACATTCAAAGCTCGAGTCCATCCGCCAGTATTATACATGAATTATACAAAGTAACTATATATATATACACACTAATAAGTTTATACGGTATATGATTTGCAAGTATATGTGCATCTTGGATCGTTTTGGATGAAGGTCCCATTGTGCAGATCTCAGATATTCAAGTCTAGTCCATCTATTCCAGTTACAGTATGACTTATTAAATCTTATATTAACAATATCACCTGGCATTGAAAGGGTAGTTCAGGAAGGTCCAACACTGGTTTGGCCGAAATATGTCGAGACACTCTCATTTTCCGAAGGGCTAGGACTCTGGTGGACAGAACAAGTCTGATATGATTATTTCTTTTTCAACTTTGATAACGGGGGGGGGTCCTGCGGAAGCACGGTAATAATCACGCGCAAAGTTAAAAAATACACTTTAAGTTTGCCTGATGTTAGGTGTTCGAGTCCATCGCTACTAGGGAGGCCATCGCTACTTGTTTTTTGCTTTCCAATGTCCCTTTTCCGAGGCAACCCTGACAGGTCTTCTCACCCAGTTCTCGAAGCCGGGCTGCACTGGGCAGCGGCCGTTCGCGCCGTCGTGCGTGCCACGGGGTGGAACTCAGGAGGCCACTGGCCAGCCGGTCGATGGGGCTTGGAGATGTAAAATACATACATATGCGATCATATGCAGGGATATGTGTGTATATATAGATGTTATATAGATGATATATGTAATTACTATATCACATGATCTCTCTGCGTGAGTGGATGTGGATTGACCACTTCGGGGGGGTTGCGGACCCATGACAGACCTTGGTAATGGACATGGGGGTGATGTTGCCGTCATTTGTGTGCGAATCCATGTCACTGGAATCTCTGATTTTATTCCACAAAGTGTTCCGTTTTCAGAGCCACCACCACATCTTGCTTAGCACCAGAATTGCTGCTCAGGAAATATCCCGCGAGCGCTGCGCAGCGTGAGCCAGCACAATCTCCAGAGTCTTGGCCACCACGGCAGGTACCACGGGCTCGTGCCTTCCGCGCGCCTCAGCCGCCTGGGATCTCTTCGGGGGCTGGCCAGGTCTAGGATTTGGACTTGCCATGGATGGACGTCCAAACAAAAACAGCCAAAGAACGACCACTTCGTTTGGGTTTGTTTGTTTTTTTTGGGGACAAACTTCATATCTACTCGAGAACGTGACAAGCCCACCGTAGGCGGGCACAGAGATGCACAGGAATATGCTCAAGCTGGTGGGTCGGGGTAGAGCTGATGTGCTGCCCTTCAAGAGCCAATCCAAGTGACCAAAAGAACATGTATAAATATTACAACATAATACAACATAGTGCCCTCTGAACATTTAGGGCAAGATGTTAGGATCTGAGCGGGATGCGGCTGTTGAAGGAAGTAGTACCGCACCATGTTGAACACGAGATGGAGACTATCGTGTTGTGTGCTTTTGCTTACCTCCCCTTCGCACTGAAAAGAGAAGGACATCCAAAATGATTGGTCGCTGCAGTGCATAGAGATGGAATTGACGGCATTGGAAGGTGTTATTTTCACAATGATTGCCCGGTGACTTTTGGGACTTGGCGTTGACATTGCGTTGTTTGCATCAGATTTTTCTGAATGGCTCTCATGCACTTGTTTTGTGACAAATCTTGTCAATTCACAGGGACTGAGATGCCCCACAATATTATATTTCTTTTTTAAATAATTGTTTTTGCAGACAAGCGAGTGAGAAGCGAGAGGTGGTGCCTGTGATCCTAACTTTGTGGGAGGAACCTCATGCCAATCTTATAGAACAAAACACTTCAAAACATCATCAAAACATCATAAATCATACATCAGGATCCTTCATGGCTTCACTTGCTTTTGGAACTTTTTGACCTCACGAAGAGGTCACCGGAACTCGGGAAAGCCTCGGGTCGGATGTTTCAGATCGCCTCGGTGAAGCGGTCGAAGCCGGCGACTGAGGTGCAGATGGACGATCCAAACTTTCGGATGCAATTTCTCACCCAGGCCCTCACTCAAGTGGAAGATGCTGACAGCCAGGGTGTCAGTGAGGAGTGAGGATGTGACTATAATTCCCGGGACTTCAGTCTTTAGAATCCTGGGCTCCTACTGACAACGCAGAATGCAGCGCGGTTGTCCTTTTCTTCACTTAAGGTTTGCTGCCGTGCCATCGCTCTGAGTGGAGAGGTTCCCCAAAAGGGCTTGTAGAAAGGCGGGTATTGTGTGTGCAAGAGAGGTATCTAATGCTAATATATATATATATATCAGTCGGGATATAGTGATTCTGATGATGAGAGCGCCGGTGTTTTTTCCTTCCTTCGTTGTTTTTCATGCTGAACAGTGCTGTTCTCCGTGCTGTTCTCGGATCCAGTGCGTGCAGCCCAAGTCAACGCTTCTCCGTTCGCGTGCCATGGTGGCCTCGACCGATCGGGTTCGTGCATGGTTTGAGCTGGCCAAGTCGTGTATGTCGGACTCAGATTGGAAGGTGGCTGCCACCATTCCCAATGCCTCCCTTTCCCATCGTGAATGGGGAGAGCAAGGAATCCGCTTGATCAGATTCGACCTCAGGAATGTCTTTGTAAAGGATGCTCCAGAGAAGCCCTGCGAGCTGTTTGTGAGGCGCGTTTTTGGATTGAAGCCTTGATCCCATGCAATTCCAGCAAGCAGCTTCAGTTTCCCAAAGCATCTAGGAACCAAATGATTAGTTCGAGCGCGCCTTCACGGTAGTAGCCTCTCCCCAGGCTAATAGAAGAACATGTAATTACAGTAACAAACCATAATTAAGAGGGGATTGTTGATAGTGAGTTTCTTGCAAAGGTGCCGGCTCTTCCAAGTCTAAACGGGCGTCAAAACGACGTACTGGAATTGCTATATTATATCTTGGAACTACTTCAGTAAGGGGTCTTACTGAGTCCTCCCTCACTTTCCTGATTTTCCAGGCCCTAGGTCCCCACTCTTTCAGTCTTACGGGCCCGTAAGGGTCTGTTGTCGCAACTCTTTGCTTTGTTTTGCTGAATATCTCCCGTGGAAGGCCCGAGGTGAGAGCGCAGTATGGCCATTCGGTCTGGAAGGAGAAGGAGGATGCCACGATGCAGTGGCAACAGACCCTTGCACCTGGAGATGCTTGGAGTGGTTTCAATCCACAGTTTGCACATGTAGGTCTGGTTGCTCCGGATGGCTGCCATTCAGGTTGTTGGTCGTTTGGTTTTGCTTCTTGATGTTCACATAACTTCATTCGGTGCTTTTGAGGCTTTCGCTTTTCAGAAATTTGAGCTCGACCTTTTTGGGGTACAGTCCCTACAAGGCTATGCAGTCTTCATCCCAGGTATGTGAGATAAAATGCCCATGACGAATGACCCTTGTATGGCACATATACACCCACACAAATAACTTGAATATGTGCATGTAATGTGATTATGATCACAACATATCAAAACCATATGCAGATTAACTTTTGAATCCGGTTGATTCGTCCAAACTGCCGGGCGTTTTCAGGGAGCCTCGCGTTTTCCAAAGGCCCGAGGCTCCGCGCAGGTGCGGAACTTTCTTCGCGGGGCGGATCTAAGGATGGGATTTTGGAACATCTTTCGCGCCCCATGACGTCCTTCCGCTATGGTTCGGTGCTGTTCGGCAACTACGCGGGTCCTTTCTCGATTCTCAGACAAAGGCTATCGGGGGGACTGAACACGGCAAAGCAATCTCGAGTTAAAAAAAGCTGCCCTCACAAGGATGCTCCGTGTTATTGCTTCATCAGAGCTGAATGAGTAACGGCAAGTATGCAATCAATGTACTGTACATCGATTGACACATACAAGTACAGATATACATTTACTGTAGATGTTTATCATAGACATAGTTAATATCCACATATTTCCACGATATGATATATATATATATTTAGAATGGTCAAGGTTGTCATAAATAGCATTCTATAGTAGGCCGAAGCTGTGCCTAGGCAGAATCTAGGCATTGTCAATTTGTTTAGAGGGTCCAGACATGTCCAGACGATCTATACTATAGAACGGGGTACCCCCACGTCAGGGGCATTTTTAAACGGGATTGATATTTACATGTGCGTGTTTTTTTTGTTTGTTTGTGTGTTTGTTTGTTGTTTTTTTGTTTGTTTGTTTGTTTGTTTGTGTTCTTGTGTTTGTTTTGTTTAGTGTTGTGTTGTTCTGGTTTTGTTGGTTTTGTTACAGCAGGGCTCGTTGTGCTTTGAAATTGTAATCTAGAGTTGGATGACATTTTTCCACCTTCAGGGCTTGTAGCGGTTTATACCTTTCTGCGCCACGGTTCTGCCAAGGAGCACCTTCTTTTACAGCCTGCAACCCACCTTGACGCGCTCACGACTCCGCAGAGACTTTCCAAAGACAGGGGACTGTGCCTATGCAGCCTTTCAGGATGTGCATGGAACTGGACAGGACCCGCGGCTTGACCCGCAGGGAACCCAGCAGGTGGTGGCGCAGGGACTGGCTCTGTCGGGAGTCTCCCCCAAATTGGCAGATTGAAGAGTAGCTGAGTAGCATATCGGCAAGGGCATCGCTACTAAAATATGGGTATTTTGGGCATTTTGTGGCCTGCTAGAAGAGCCTGGGACCCCAGGGGCGGGCGGGGGGGAATGAACAGGACGAGAAGCAATGGAGGATGACTCTAGGAGTTGGGAACGCATACCAAACCGACGGATTGGCCAAAAAGCATTCGATTCACTTGAGGCACTTGGGAGAGCGGCCTTTCAGGGCAAAGGGTCACTGGATTCCCCTTGGGATTTCGTGTCCGGACCAGTTAATTAGTTGACTTTTGATCCTTCATGACCAGGACTTTGTGATGATTGGTCGGAGCGAGGGTGGCTTTGCTGATGATGAAAACTTTGCAGACGTATGCACACACACAAGTGAGAACGCAGACGTTTGCGCACGCACACGCATATGTATATAGTATATACACACATACATATATATATATATAAGATACACATACACAACTCAGTTACAGTCAATTGCAGAAACCAGAACCTGGCTTTCCATTGTCGGAAGCTGGCCACCCCATTGCCATGTGAAGACTCTCAACCGCAGGTGAGCCCAACCGCTTTCGAGTGGTCTTGACCTTCAGCACGCCGGATGAACAGTGGGCATCATGGGCGTCACCGTTCTTCACAACGCTCCTGGGGATGGTGCAACAAGCGAGCACCCGATTCTTGAACCGCCCTGGGATAGCAGACCTTCGCCAGCTGGATCAGAAGACCCCCAGGCTATTCAGATGTTTTTTTTTCCTCGTTCTGTTTGGAGTTTCTTTGTTGAAAGTCTTTCGTTTTTACATGTAGTTGAAGATATCCTAGAAGCCTTGTTAGGATAGTTTTTGTTTGATAGTTTTTACATGTTAGGATAGGACAGTTTCTTTTTGGAGTTTCTATTTGTAAAGGTAGTTGAAGATGTTGAAGGCCAACCCAAGGATGTACATCACCCTTGGCTTGCGAAACTATCACCGTGGACCGCCCATGATTCCTGAACACATTGGTGCCGAGAAGGGCCAGGCCGCGTTCGAGACTGCATCAGAATTGATGTGGCATTTACGAGTGGTGCCTAATGAAACGGGTGTGTAGAACAAGAGTTCTCCCCTTTCAAGGATCCCGCAGACTGGTGAATGATGATGAATGTGCTTTCATTTTGGAGGCACGTCTAGTATCATGCAATAGGATTTCCAATAGATTCGGGTGAATTGTATCAGGCTTTCACGTGCCAAACCTGATGCCAAACCTGATGCCGCATGCCGCGTCATAGGAGGATGTGACGATTTCGGGTGGACAAGAGTTGGGCTTGGCTTTCTGGAAGCGCTGGCTGGTTTCCGGGGCAGACGGCAAGTTCCGCCTAGCCGAGTATCTCCAGCGCTTCCTGCAGCAGTTGGGACACAACGTGCCCGTCCACGAGACACTGGATGGCAGAAGATTGGTGCCATACCAGTGTGTGATGCTGCGACAGGAGACGGTCGAAAAGAGACGAAAAGAGACAAATGTGGATAATCAATGCAGACTGCAGACTCTTGATTAATAAACCACCCCACTTGAATTGAAAGTGCTATTCATATGGGGGGTTATTCATCAAGAGTCTACATTTACAGACGAATCTTAAAGCTGGGCACACCCCTGTGAACGTGAACCAACCACCTGGCTTGCACACTTTCTGAGTGTTTCAGTGCCTTGAAAGGATGAGTTGAGAACATGGCATATATATATATATACATTTGTATATATCTGAATCTAAATATTTTTTTTGTGTTAATACGTGTATATTAGTATTCATTCTATTGCATTGTACGTATTACGCAACTAATTAGTATATTTTAAAAAGAAAGTAAAATGTAGATGCCACAAGAGATGAAAGCCCCATCAAACACCATCAAACATTGCTCTTTGTTGAGTTGATTGTCCACCCCTGGCTGTCCCATCACGAGTAGAAACCACGACCGAAGCCGCGGCGTGCCCGCAGCCTTTGAACATGGAAGGATTGGGAGCACGTGAGGGCATCCTGTTTGGAAGCCTTCCGCTGGCAAAAGGCCGCCTATCGTCGGAAGAGCGGAGGGACTTCAGCGCCCAGTCTGAGTATTGATGCTCGGCACAAAGGATCATGGGCATCGGATTGATGGGCGCTTTCATCCATGTCCCAACCAGGGCTCCCCCAGCAGCCCCCCTGTCATTTGGGTGGGGTGAAGAGAACGTGGGACTCAAGTGTCAAAGAAGGGATCTCACTCCATTCTGGCAGATGAGCGAACCACAGCTCTGAGGGTACCGCCAGCGCTGTGGACGACTTCTTGGTCTAGTCTATTCTTTATGCATAGCTGCATGCCATACGTTCAGGGTGGATTGTGCCAGATTCCGAGCAAGGAGCTGGATAGGTAGAAAGACGGCCTTTAGGCTTCTGATATGTTTTGGTGCCCTTTCTCCAGGTCTCATGTGTTGTTGTATTTGCCTAGATTTTTAGCCAACAAACCTGTTGCTGTGAAATTGGAGCACGTTTTAGCTGATGGGTGGGTGGAATCAAAAGGATCGCAGGAACAAGATTCAACGGTACCAACTGTTCAAAACGTGACCCAGGGACCACCCCCCACATACACCAGCTATGTTCTGGGAGAATTGGCTGGATGAACGGGCAATGCTTGAGGATGATCGACTGCTACTTGCACATGTCTGTTTTTTTTTGCAAACTTAGGATCCAGCATCTCACATCTAGTTCATATCAAGATCCCATGAGTTTGTTTTTCCCTTGCACTTTCACATCTACCCAATGTGACCGCCAGGATGTTGCTCCACACTTTCTGGCATATCCTTCGAGCAACCCCGTGTTCAACCTTGATGTCCCCAAATTAGTGGTGCGAAATACATTCATCGAGTTTGAGGAGGACATTTTGCCTAACACCTTTGGCGCGACAAAGAGGAGCAAGAGTTGCACACATTGTAAACTGAACGTTTAATTTAAAGTAGCCAAGATGTACAGTGCTGATTTGGCATTGGGCTTTGTCTCGGTATTTCGGGGACCTGTTGCCCCATTTCGTACAGGTAGCTTGTCGGCCTTACTGCTGTCAGTGACTGCTGTCCGATGTACTGCTGTCCGTGACGTGTAGAGTTTGCACAGTGAACAAGGCCATTGACTCGCTGCACTCGCTGCAGGAATCATGTCAAGTGCTGAAGCTCCTACCTGTCACTGTCTAGAATGCTGCATGGGTATGGCAGCGAAGGCACTTGTTGCTAGACTGGGCTATGTGACTAGACCTGGCTAGTGCCAACAAAAGTTCTCTCCTGCTGATGCGGCCTTTCTTCCATGAATCTCTATCAACCACTGGTCAGTGGCTACGACAAAAGTAGGAGGTCCCTAGTTCCCCTATATGACGAAAGCCAAAGTGCCCACACATGTGTATGACAGCCAGTCACATGGACTCTGTATAAAGTATGCATATATATATATATATCATACATAAAGCCGTAAAGGCATATGCTGCGCATTGCTGCACCTACTGACCTACTGTGCCACAGTTCTCACCCATTTTGCACCAAGTATACCGGCCGTCCTAGTGTTCGGTAATTGTGGAGGAATTCCTGGTCTTGCCGGCACCCACCGCCCAAGGGTTTGAAGATTTGAGGTGCCGCTTGATCCAACTCAAGCCGGGTGCTGGCCAGGTGTTGATTGCCTTCCAAGCACTGGAGCCACTTGGAAAGTTGGGGGAGTGTCTCCAGAGCTAGCTGGTTCTCCAGATCGCAGCACTCTCCTGTCACGGAGCAGGTTCCGCCAGTTGAGACCCAACGTGAGGGCTACGGAGGCCGCAGCGCAGCGCCGCGCCGAGGCAGGACGTCTCGGTGAAAGTCCGACCTGGCGGGCTGATTTCCACACAGCTGCTCGGGCCAGACCTGGGTATTGGGCCATTAGGCCTGGATGACCAGATCAGTTTGGTGGCACTACATCAAACTGGCCTGGTAGTTAGTTTAGTTTAGTTTTGATGTTGATGTTGTTGATGTCAAATGGTCGTGCAGACACGCTGAAAAGCCATGGCTTTCCTTTGGTACAAGTCTGGATGACAAGGACCTCACCCAAATTGGGTAGCAACCTTACGGTTCCTTTTTGCGCTTGGGATTGGACAAACCAACCACAGGGGTGCCTGGTGACCGACAGCGCCTTGCAGTGGTTGTCCCAGTAGGCCTATCGGTCAGTGAATCACCCGGTGGGTTTGAGAAGCAACCTCCATGACCATATCAATGGCCATCAACGGCCATCCTGTCATTTTGTCCCAGGTCTTTTGGCATCATGACCAGTCACATCCCGTCACCATCGTTATTTGCTGTACTATGACTATATCTCATCGATGGGTTAGATGGTCATTTGTAACAGATGTCATAAATAATACATTCATATGTTCATAGATATATGTATGTAATTATAGATGTCATGATTTGCTACTTATGTACGATATACTCTCGCAGGTTTTCTCGCATCCCGGATCGACATACCCAGCCAAAGGCCCAAGGACCCTCAGGATGTATCCAGCCGAACAGACTGCTCGCCGCCTAAGGACCAAAGAAGTCCAAGAGCAACTCCAAAAGCTTCGCAGCCTCATCGAGCGCTGCTTAGCCACCACCCGCCCCGGTGCTGCGGAGTCGCCCGACCGGAACATCCGCCGGAACCGGGACGGCCCGGGCGATCGGAGATACAGTCGTCGGGCGAGAAAAGCAATCATGGTTGCAATCAACTGCAATCGTTCGTTGTGTTGTGGTATCCATATTGTCAAGTCTTTTGTAGCTTGACCTTGACCAAAACTGCAATAAGCTTCTTCAAGTGAGCAGGTTGGATACTGTATGTATTGTTAGGATAGGAGATAGTAGGAGTTATGGTAGGAGGGGCACTCATTGCTGGTACAAGGGGTAGTGGGATGGACAGCCCATGCAATCCAAACTTGGCTTATATATGCAGTATGAATTTTCCATGAGCAGGAGCAGCAGCAGCAGCAGGGCAACACTTGACTATACCGACTATACCACGATTCCACGATTGTGCAAGTCTCTTTCCAGCGTGGTGTCGTTGGGTGTGCATCCAAGGATGGTGACACACCTGCTGGCAAGAGAAGTTCATTGGGTGAATTGGAAGGCTGGATGCAAATCGTGTTGCGTGCAGTGTGCAGTTGGTTGACAATGGGGCAGAGGGGCAGACGTTTGTTCAGAGCCAATGATGTGGGATTTCGCAAGAATTGGTTTGCAGATGCCGACCATCATTGGCAAATCAATGGCAGTGTCAATGGGGATTGACAGACAACTGGAAGGATCGATCGAATGGACCGATTTTACTGGTGTAGCCGGGAAGCCACTTGACATGACCATGGTTTTGATGGGGGGTTTGTACTGGTGTCTACATACATTGTTCTTGGATGATGGCTTTTGAGAACACAAGATGGGCACCCCCTATTGCCATGAGGCATGGTGGCTGCCACATCCCGAGGTAAAGAAAACCCAACAACTACACCACGAAGGTTCGAACCATCCACCAATCCACCAGCGTCGCTGCCAGGGCCAAGGCTGCAAGGAGTGGGAACACGATTCCCAAGAGATGCTCACAGGCAAGGCCTGTGACCTTGGATTTGTATCAGAAGATGTTGTTTTGTTAGGGGTGGAAGACTTAGACCTACACACAATACATGGCATATTATATACAATACACACACACACACATATATATATATACATATTCTTATATATTCATAATTGTGCATTGATAGAGATAGTTTTTCAGACTTCTAGAGGTTCCTGGATCTGAACAAAGGGCGAACAAAGCTGCATCTGAAGTGAGTCGCTGGCTGCCAGCCTCAACTAAAAGGACGTGCCCTTTCCATGAAGCTCAACAAGAGCGTGGTCTTGTATCATAATAAAAGAAGCATTGTTCTAGGACAAGCTTTAGCGCAGAGCTACAGCAGTTTTAGCTCTGTATATCTCTGTTGACCTAATATGATGCTTGGCAATTTTATGCGGACAATACAGCAACAAGTGAGGTACAAGAAAAACCACCTGCTACAAGCCCTTGAAAAAAAAACTATTCCATGCATACAAAAAAATCAATCCTTGGAATACATACATACAAGAAAGGTAAGCAAAATTGACGGATTAAACATCACAGCTCTACTGCCCTTAGATTGGAAGAGTGTCCTTATAACGGAGATGTCCTTCGCATGGGCCTCAGCAGAATTGTGGCAAGGTTTGTTTTTATTGTTGGCTGGTTGGAAAGAATTCTGAACTCCTAGTGAGACCCCTGTCTTTGAGTGCAGAGTAGGGGATTAATTATATATATTCAAGACGCTTCGCGTCGACAGCCCACACCGCGCACGAACATCCGAAGTTAGTGAAATGGAGCTTCACGGGGTGATGCTGTAATATTGAAGCTATCTGTCAGATTATGTTCAGCCCTCCCCCAGCAGGACCAGGATTTTAAGTGAGCTTCTGCGAACTATTTTGGCTCCAAATGGGGGACATGTGCAGCCATCTAGGCGCCAGGTTGGCTGTTTTACGGCTGCGTTGGAGCCATCTTGGGGCCAACTTCGTCTACCTTGGGGCCCATAATGGTGATACAACTTCGGCATTGCCAAAAGCCATCCAAAAATACACCTCCAAACGCTGTCCCCAGTGGCCCTGCAGCCGAGCAAGAATCAACACAGCAACCACCCCAAAACACAAGAACTCCTCCAAAACGCTCTCCCCAGTGGCCCTGCAAGCACAACGTAACGAAAAATCATCCAAAAATGTACCTCCAAAACGCTCTCCCCAGTAGCCCTGCAGCTCAACCATAGCCAGGCACCCCCCTAGCAGAGCTATATGCATAGGATGTTTTTGCTAAAGTGCACAGCTCGACGGCAAAAGCCCCAATAGCACGCCCTGCACCGACAAGCGGTGTGGGCGGATTTGCACAAATACAATCAAATCTACGTACTGTATATATGTATGCAACATATTCACACTTCGAACTTGGATTTTCAGTTAATGCAAGTATCACGTTGGGAAGGAAGGTGAGGGAAACGTAAGGTGAAAAGGTCAGCGCAACTGAAATGTTTAACAATCTGTTCACTCATCTGCAGAAGCGCGGCTGAACTTCGGCGGCTGAAGGCAGCGGTAGGAAACCTGTTTGGGGGTGGTAGCATGAAGGACCATGGAAACAACGAAACAGCGACAGGGTGGACCATTGGAGTCAGTGTGTTGAAAGCAGGTACGTCAGTTCCGCGTCCGGAACTGATATCAGTACCGCCACAGAAGCCTCTTCGTTGGACTGTCACTTCTGTGGGGTAGACAGTCCCCCTGCTTGATGGAAATGGTGAAAGGAGCCCTTTTTCCAGGGGTGGACACACACAGATCGCCGGCTTCGGCGCTGTTTTCCAAAACACCCCCTACCGTTGAACCAGTGGAAGAAAACCTTTCGCCCAGGGGTGGATACACACACACACAGAGCCGTTTCTCGGCGCGGTCAAAGTAGTAGTAAGGCCAGGGGCCTCCAGTAGCGTCCTGACTCCCAGGGGAACATTTGTACAAAAAGCGCCAAATTGTTGGCGCAACGAAGAACTAGTAGACACCTAAAAAGCCTTAGAAAAACAGAAAAAGCAACGAAAAAAGAGCAGACTAAGAGGGCAAGAAAGAAAAGTAGGTGTAATTACGAGGCCCACTTAGTTAAACGAAAGTAGAAGGCGAGCGGGACATTCGTCTTACACCGCCCGGGTAGCTAGCAATAGCTAGGAGAAACAGAAGGAAAGGCACCAACACACAAGTGTGTTGAGTGCGATTTCCTTCTGTTTCCCGAGAAGCAGGTGGGATAGCAACAGAGGCCTGGGGAGGGGGGGGTTGTGCATAATGAATTCATCCGGCCTGTGAATACTTAGCAGTGCAGGCATGTGATTACTTAGCCGTCAAGTATGCTCAGACTAGAAAAAACGGATCCGAAAAAAGGAAACTG